AAATAAAGCATCTCCAAAGGCCAGAGGGGCGAGTTAAGCCTGGTGGAGAAACTTAAGATGGAACAGAAGCATCAACATTAAGTATCAAGCTCTTCCACCAACAGAATAACCACGGCCTCCAGGTCACCCTAACCAGGTTTGGCTCTTAACCAGATACTGGGAACTGTACATCTCAGTATGAAAGCCATCAAAAAAAGGCCCATCCTGGGTCCTGGAGCAGGTTTTCCTGGACTCCCCCCTCTTTGACCCCCCATTATTGCTTTGAAGCTGCATGCTTTGTGTCCTTTTACATGTGCAGATACATAAAAGATGTCACAGCGGTGTTATTTAAATGGGTTTTCTGGTCCTTTCTCCATGTGGTCTTGTCACTTCCTGTTTTATTTTGTTAAGTAACCTCCATCTGGTTGTGTTCCCCTGGGGTTCCCTTCCCCTCAGGTGTTAAATAGTCCACCTTTCCCCATGTCTGGGGCCAGTTTTTTTAGTCTCTTGACCCTTTATGAGCATTAACCTTTTCCTCAAACCAAACCTTGCATTGCTCCTTGTTAAACCTCGAAAGAGTGATTTTATTTTCCGATCATCCTAGTTTTGTCTGACTCGTGAGTATTATTTTGTAATGTGAGGGTTCGATTAAATGGTGGTTGGATCACTTTTCCCAAAGGATGAAGACAGGGGAAGTTTTCCGACCACTTTTTAAAATCTTTTTCCAACTTCCAACCCCCAACACACACACTTCCTTGTTTTTGTCACATGACTAAAACACATGAGAATCTAAACTAAGGCAAAGCGGATTCAACTAAATGTCTTAAATATGTTGTCGTGAATTGAATAAAACATAATTATATGAACTACTGAATTAACTTAACTTTACAATTATTTTGTTACTTTGTCTCATAGCCTTTTTGAGTGATTCTGATTTGATACTTTTCCGATAACTTCCTCATTGAGCGATATTAGTTTGTGCCTTGTTTCCACTCTTTGAGAGTTTAATAAACCTTTTTGAACTATATCTCCGCATCTGAGTCCTATCTGAGTACCGACCTGACAAAAGGAGGGTATCTTCTAAGCCTGGGATCTGGGAGTTTTGGGTGTTTTCAGATTTTTTGGGTCCTACCTCTGCACGGCTGTTATCCTCTGCTCCCCTCCGTCCCCCTCCATCACTTCCATCCACTGGTGGAACAGGTCCACACACAGCACGCTTCCCGGGATGTTTCGCAGGAAATCCTGCGGGCAACAAACAGACGGGATGAGGTTTTCCCCT